CCCCAAAACCCCAAAACCCCAAAACCCCAAAACCCCAAATTATGAATATCAGTAATTTTTGAGATCTAATAGTATCAAATAAACTTATTAAAGAATCATTCATGGTGGCAGTGTTGGTGCTGAGTGAACATAAATTCTTTAAGTGCCTCAATTAGCATACCATGATTGAGTTCGATTGCTACTTTAGTGCTTTCCTTACAAACTTGCTAGAATCTTTGCGAGTCAATCGAAGATCCATCTTGATTTGCATTAGATGGTCCACCTCTACGACCACCTTTTTTGCCACCCCCACCTGATTTATGATCCTTATCTAATTATTCTAACTTTTCTGAGACATTTTTAATTGACTGACTTAAGAATAGGCGGTTCTAAATATAGATTAGGATAATCTGTAAAACATTACATTTAAGAGTGGGCTTTGAGATAAGGTTTGCACCCAGTAATCGTTCCAAAGATTTTCTAGAATAGATTGATCTAGCTGACTCTTGAAGAAAGAGTGTTCGAGCTAATAGTACTTGTAGCAATGAATACCAAAATCCTCAAGTTTATCTAATGGAACAAGACTGTTTGAACCGTTAACAGTGGTTCCTGACTTCTCAAGTTCAGCAATATAGCTTTCAGGGAAAGTTCTGAAGCATCCGATTTCAACTTTACCTGATGACATTGTTCTTTTGGGGTCTACAACTATAGCAAAGAAGGGATCTTAATGCTTTTGATAAATCATTTCCGTCATGACATCTGTGCCTGAGAGATAGCAGCCATATCCTGGGTGAGAATGATACCATCCGCAAATGTTCTCAGGTCTGTTGACTTTCTCACTAGCGTCGATATGATCACACATGAATTCATTAGCATCTGCACCTGCATTGACTCTAGTTTCTGAAGCTTCTACTGGAAGAGCAAAGGCATCCATTACATAAAAGGTATCTAATTGTCAGATAAGATATCTCTCAAAAGATTTAATGATTGATTATATATTTTTTGCAATATTTATGAATGAACTTACCTCCTTTGACTTTACCCTGCATAAGTCCCATGACCTCAATGTCACCTCCACGCTTAGCGTGCATGACCATCTTAACTAGAGCAACTGAAGAGATCTTGACTTTCTTGAAGTGATGAGGGCTAAAATTAAATGTTAAGAAGTCGAATTGTATTTATTCTGATGGATCAGTACTTTTTAAGCCAGGGTCTCTCCAACATAAGTCTGTCAACTTCCTCTTCCTCGAAGTGATAAAGCTCTTCATCAATAACTTCATTTTCTAGCTCGAACCTCTTTTTCATCATCTTTGCATCTTATGAGATCTTAGCTGGCTGACTCTTTTAAGATTACTTTATCATATTTTATAATTTTTATAATTTCTAAAATTAATCGAAATATAGACATCTATCTCGATGGGGTTTTGGGGTTTTGGGGTTTTGGGGTTTTGGGGTTTTGGGG